TTGTTAGTTTGTCCCTTAGCAATCGACATCATAGAAATCGTGATATTCGCGTGAACATCGACACTGAACTATCTGTGCCTTATATATACTTGTTCTGTTTTTCATGTTGTAAATAATATGTTCCTATTGGGGTAAGCAGCTGATATTAAAGAGTCGGAAGTGTTCATGATTTCAAGTTGAATTGAAGCACTTGGCGAAGTAATTTTGCCAGTTCTTATAAACTGTTCTATTTGTATTGACAAAAGGGGGAAATGACCAGTAGAGGCGCACACTTTGTTTCAAGTAAATACCAACTGTATGGTATTGCCGCCGAAGTCAAGAAACATTGTCAACAATGAACTCAATCATTCTTACAATGCCGTCAACGAGTTAATATGTATACAGATGTCAGATTGTAAACAAATAATTTAGCACTCTTCTGATATATTAGTGTCATTTCGCGCAAATATTTGCTTTTGCAATTATTGTATCAACTTGAAACAACATTTTTGAAATAATTTACCAAATTTGTGCGGAAAACGATTTACATAGAGTTGGACATAGAAATGGAAAATACGTTTTGCAGGACATCAATGGCTTTGGTAACCAGCAAACGTCCTAGGAGGGCTCACTACGAAGCTGTACGCTAAGCGAAACGAACTTGACTTTCTGAATCTTAATGACAACACAGATTTTTTTGAAAGGTGCGGATTAATAAAGATTATGGACAAGACTTATTGTCACGAGCTTATATGGCAAATATGTTATTACTTTGTGGGATATGAATGTGGATTTCTTTAATTATGCTCATTTGTTTGTATTGCGGTTTCATTGTCATTTTATTTATCACTTTTTTACCTGGATTTGCATGGCGGATGTCATCGATGAACAAAAGAAGCTTACCCTTTTGAGACACCTGGTCTTAATCTCTTTTGAAGTTTTCAGTGTATTAATGTAACTCTTTACGGGGTTTTTTTCTGTCCTGGTTTTGTCAGTTCTGAGTTCAACTTATGGTTTTGTGAACACTTTGATATTCTCGTCTGTATTTGATGTTTTCGCTTTTATCATAGTTGTGATAATTTCACGACTTGCGGAACTTCATTGAAGATAAAATTAACAACAATAATCAGCATCAGTAACTGATTGCAACAAAAATACAGTTTACAAACCATGATTGGAACTATGAACCTCCTTTCATTTTACTGTCTCTCTAACCAATATAACTACCTAATCAACAGTTCTACAGTACCCTATGTATTCGCGCTTCAGCTAGATTCAAAAGGAACTAAAGGGGAAAATACTCTACGAAAAAACTAAGCATTAATTATTGTTCTGCCTGTAATGGAACAGTGATTCTTAAGTGAAACATAACCCGTAATGTTATCCCTAGACTTCAACAACTTGGCTCTGAATGGAATTTATAAGTTAAAAACTTGTTGAACCAATTTTATTTTAAGCAAATATTTAACATTGCACTAAGGAAAACACTTTTTGAGTTTCAGAAAAATTCTGCATCGAATTTTAAAATGTAGCACTTCAACAACACAGATAACCTAGAGCTATACAATGAGAGAAAACTGATTAATTGCTACTCTTGAAACGGCCTATCGACATAAGAAGGTCATGCAGAATAAAACGTAATCAAACTGTAAATTAAACACCTGGTGCCGTGGGAAGAAAATACGGATAATGCAGATGATGAAACTATTAAGATCCTTAACATTAGTCGATATTTATAGTGGTAAACTAATGTGCGAGTTCAAACATTGCTTTTATAAAAACAAATATATACAATGTTGAACATTTCCATTCTTATGTATACTTTGTCTGTATTTCTGTTAAAACACGTACATTCTGTACAAGGCACCAGTGAACTACATTATTGGGGCACCAGTATACAGTTAACCAGACAAAACTAGCAGTGGAAGAATGGTCTGTGTTAGAAAAGTAATTCTGACGAACAAGCTGCATTGGGGGCAACAATGACAACTATATAACCTATTTTTAGGTGTAGACTTGACCATAGAATCTTCAATAACTCGGTCCACTACCAGCAATGTCAGATGGACGTTTGATAATAAGCCTCCTGATGAGAAAATAATTAAGCGTCACAAATGATACAGATTCGATAACGGACGCGGCTAATGATTTCATAATCAAATATAGCTATTTCAATCCAGATTGATCGCCACATCCGCTTTATCATATGTCCAGATTCTGCTGATAGAAACCTTATATACATTATATAGATAGTTTTACTGATACATTGTTCACAGGCATCGTAAAGCTTCTAGGGCGTTTGTTACCGGAATGGAAACCTACAAGACGACGTTAAGTTTTGCCAAAATGTGGTCAACAAGCAATGACAGCCGGCAGCAAGACACAGACCAACGTGTTATGGTCAGTTAGCGAGCTTTTGCCCGATAGCAACTTACGTACTTGTGGACATCATCGTCCATTATTAGACATGTCTGAACAACAGCCGAGTTGACATCTGTTGGGCGATTTGCTGGTAAAACCAGCTATTTGTACCCATACCTGTATGGAAATAGGAAATTCCTTTCTATTCACATGCAAGTATCAACACACGCAGCATATTTACGTACCACAAACAAATGCAAGTATCACAAACGGATTTGAGCAACACCAGCAGATAAAAAGTAACACAAACCACGAAAGCAACATAAGCAGATGATGGAAATACGTATAACGCAAAAAGATGGCCGTATCCAACAAGCATACCTACATAAGAAGGGTCAAATTTATCATTTCAATCCATTTGAAACATTGAAAAGTTCTAAAAGCTGTTCAGTTAATGTTAACATTACACAAGCCCAAGTCCATGGCGGTCTTGCGCCTGCAAAATGTGTGTCCTCTGCTTAAGTGATATTGTACAAATTACAATTGAGCTGTTGCCTCCTGGCAACATTTAATAACTCTTTCGTCTTGCTGTTTCGTTAGCTGCGAGAACGTGAAATACCAAACGAAACAAACCTAACAATCAGCAAGTCTTTATAAAAGCTTGTCTTCCTTTTTTATAATTGGAGGATCGGATATCTGCCTACAAAACCGATTCTTTGATTCACGTGCAACTTGGTGGAGGATTTAAGGGATATGCATATATGCAAAATAGTCTAAGAAGATCCAGATCGATGCACTGTGGCAGATATCTCCGACGTCATCTTCCAGCAGGATATACAAAGCTGTATGTTTGTTAATGCATGTATTCATTTTAAGTAACAATGTTACCCGGATGTGACAAATTGAGACGTTATGATTTTTATTCATCGGTAAGATTCTGTCATCTCATTCCCATAAACTGTTGTGATTTGGAAACATCAATGTGAGAAGAGATTTAATTCGTATGCTTTTATTTGTAAGTTATCTCATTTCATCACAGCAAATCAATGTAATCCCTTCCGTTGCGTAGTTAATCCGATTTATTTCAAAACGATAAGAATTGAGTTAATTCATATGATACTAAAGATTTATATAATTTTGAACACAGAAATTTATCTGAAAATAGGTGGGGTTAGTTATACAGGCCAGAAGCGTGATCGCCTTCGCAAGTTAAAAACGTATCTGTAGAGTTGATCATGGCTTCTGCGAATGATTGGCCTACCTTACGCAGTTTGTGCGCTAAGACATGACTGTAACGCCGTAAAAGCATTGCCTAGAAATCGGATATTGCTACTGATCTCGTGCAATTTTACAATTAACTTTTTGTATTTCTGAACTCGTCCAAGAACAGTGTCTGCAAATGCTAGATGTTGTATATGTATATGTCGCCCAACAGTTAAATAAAATCAGATGGTTAACGTAACCATTATTATGACTACTTTGAATAAATAGATAGGGCTTTTTAAACAATGGCTCTTTTCGGGAAGGGTTTGTAAAAGCCATTTTGTTCTTATTACAGAAAATTGATCTTATAATACAGGCTATATTGACTGATTAGTTTTAAAGACCAGAAGTAATCACAGGCAAGTGGACTTAAAGGGGATGTTACTTCACCTTTAAACTTTCAATTGATAATAACACTTCAGACTGATAACATCCTTTTTTACGTTACAAATTTACTGCGTTTGATTTCAGCAGAATTGTTTTCCTCCGACCGATATTTCATAAATTTGACATAGCTATACGATTCTTTTAAATATCATTTTACACATGCTAAATAATTCTCTTTATTGTAAATGAGAAATCAATACTGGCTTTTAAATAATTCCCCGGAGTTCGCCAAGGAACTCTTCTTTGATTATACTTGTTTACCATAAATTTGTACGGATACGCTGATGATATTCTGACTGACAAAGTTTGGTTAAGGTACCCGACGTGGGATAATCAATATATACAATAAATCACTAACTTAAAACAGACGATTATGTCTTTACGTCCATAATTCCTCTTGTTGAGATACATATCTCGATGACCTGAATAAATCGAACATTGTTCCATGGCCCAATAAGCTTGATTTTACTGTATCCTTATGAACAACACTTTTTTATGCGAGGATGGATACAAATATATATAGCAAATAAATGTTCACGTTATAGATTAAAAACCAAAACAAGTTGCGTGTATCAAATTAAATTCATCTATGAAAATAGCATGTTTTAAATATTTCTAACCAGACATTAGGATAATCAATTTTAAAATAAACATAATATGTTTACTTTTGACGTCCTTTTGTGAAAAGGTTTTTTCTACGAACTATCTTTTTTAAATCATACCTTTTTTTAATTTAGAATATAAAATATACTGTGATCAGTCAAAGATACGAATTTAATAAACAAAAAAAAATGTTATTTTGACCATATACGGAACAAATACATGCACTTTCCCGATTGTGTTATCAGAAATGAATAAAAAATGAAAGTTAACATAAGTGATATAAGAAATAGTTTCCACTTAATTAAGGAACCGCAATTTGTTTTCATGTGTATTTTGCTCTATGAAATGCATGTGTGGTTACCCCGACCTTCGTTGGAGAGGTGTATAAAATACATTAACAAACTTACGTGTTTTCGACTAAAAGGTCAGGAGTCCAGACCTCGTTTCTCGATACCAGGATATCAGTTAAATCCCCGTATTTCGTCTTATTCCAATGTAGAAACTCATCATGCCATGTCTGTAAAATGATATTACACCGATCGTAGTTCAAGGGTCAAAGTTATAACCTAAATATTTACAAAGCGAAATTAAAGCAAATGCAAAAACCTTTTTTCCATAAAGAGTATTTGATTGTATAAGGTTATCTTGACCAATTAAAGTTATTATTCGGGTGATACATTGTTGCATACAATAAAAAATGTGGATGAAAAGAAAACTTTCTCTTTCAATATAACACGAAAATATAAATAATTAAGAATTCTAACTTGGACATATAATGAAATACATGCACTTAATGAAAGGAAAACTTGACGCGATGTTTAATTGTAAGTGTCGAAGCTGTTTATCAACGTTCTTATGACGATGAAAAATAAATTTATTTAACATATATTATCTTATAGAACGAACGCCATTAACGCTAATGAACTAACGACACATTAGTTATACTTACAATTCGTAGCCACGCATTTGTCGTTAGCACCTGATTTTTCAAATCCTGAAAGTAACAAAATACAAATTTAATGCACGTATTGTTAAGGTTTTCCAACAAAGCAAATCCCAGCAAGTTATGTTCACTCTTTATTACAAAAATGATAAAAAAAAGTTCTTTTTTTCTCATAGAAAAAGAACCCCTGCAAGTCGGGAATCGAGAAAAGTATCGTAAGAGGCGACAAATGAGATAGCCCCCTGCAGAATTGGGGATTTGCTTTAATATGCTGCACAATTACAATAGTTTTATCTTTATATTTCTCTCTATTTTTAGAAAACATTTTTTTCCTAGCGCATTGCTGGACAATACCTCACTTTTGGCTTTACTGTTAATGTTCGCCCAGGTGAGGAAAGCAATGGGTTTTGTAACAAGGCTGGGAGAACCAGAGTTCTTAAAAATAGTAGTTGTTATTCCGTTCTTAACATCCAGTATTTGGGGAAATAGCAACAACTGGTTCACCCGTTGTCAGTTTATATGACTGGGTGGAATGCTATGTTGGGTGCCTTCGGCACGGTATTTCAGTGAAATAGCAATATAAAGTCGGCATCAGATTTGCTCTATCACAAGGAGGCAAATACAACATCATACCTTGCCTCCAGCACACGTACATGTAAACACGCATACACAACATGCATGGAGGCAAGTCCTCAAAGCTTAAAGTAAAACCATTCCAAACCAATCCGATACAAAAGAATGAAAAGTGTTGAGGAAGTTGAACAAGGAGAAGGTGCTAGATCCATGTAGCTACAATTCACCACTGTGTCTAATCGACACAATAAGATTTTGACATAAATAAACATTGAAAATAGCGTGACCTTTTAGTCGTCCAGGGCGCATCTGGACACATAGTCTGGTCAATATTCTATTAACTAGTGTTGTGGATCAGATAAACATATCGATTTAACAAGCCACGTTACGTTGAACCGCTCAATATGTTTTCAATAAATCAGTGTTTCCAAACGTACATGGCGTCAATGTATTTTTCGTAAGTCAAATGCACAAAGCGGGAAGCATCACCCTGGTTTTCTTTTCCGAAAACCCTTTACAAAACTGTACGATCACTAACACAAAGCTAGCATGGATTGGAAAGTTCGGCAGCACTGATTAAATAATTGTTCTAGGACACGAGGGATTTGCCGTCAGATGATTCCGATAGTTTTTCGACTTAAAGGCGTCATTGGGTTCTTATCCATGTCACACGGACGCTTGATTAAGGTTTCTAGATGAATACGTTTTGGACGTTATACATGGATCGTTGTAACTCTCGTATGTTAGCCAGCTTCTGCTAAACTCTTGTACTGTAGGAGATGAAGCATTTGATAAAACACGTACGCATATTCTAAAGCTTCTTTAAAACGCTTGCACTTTGTAATCAATAAACATAAGGAACTCTTACACGTGCCTTAATACGTTTGTAATCAGAGATACAGATACAATTTGTGTTTAAAAATTCGTGTTAGAATTTATGAAATAAACATTGATATTGAACAATGTAAGAACGCACACAAAGTCTAAAACGCTCAAGTGTATTAAGTCACGTTAGCATCATCAGCACCATTAAACTCTACTTCGTAAAGTAATTAGCGCAGTCTGACAAACGAAATAGTGGATATAATGAGCATGGAAATGTTCATCGTTTATGTCAGAGAGGGAAATATTTGCTTTTCTCTCTCAGGATCTTATACATCTTAATATCATTTACACTGTACGCTTGCCATGGATATATAACACTTAGATTTCACAAAAATATGTGTTCGTGTTAAACTAAGCGGGGAATCGGTCGCGATGATTAAATGTGTATTTAAACAAGAACATGATTTCTAGTAAAACTTCTCCGTAAATATAATTACAAACAAAGATGTCTTTTGAAACATCCTTGGGGAATATTTATTGTTCTAAAAGTTCACATATTAAGTGCACTTAAGTACATAAGCCGTCAGCCTAAAACACTTTTTCTCCACTTATGGTATCCGGCATCATTTTCATATTATTTTACAAACACTGGATCTTTATGACATAGAAGTTGGGAACGTTTTCCACTTAAAAATCCGTCCAAGGTTGATGTTCTGAATTGTAAAGATGAATGACAGTAATAACACAGGTCAAGAGTAGCTTGCCCGTCAATTACTTGCCGATATAATCCATTATTTTTAATCAATAATATTTTTGGACGGCGCTAGACAAATAGCGTTGGTAGAGCAAAAATTGAAAATAATAGATGAGAAATATTTTTTATGTATACAATATTGAACATTTTGATTTTTTGATCTCTTGCACAAGGTTGAACAAACAATAAACAACAGCGGGAATAAACTCACCACGTTAAGACAACAGCAGGAATGCAGAAGTTAAGAAATACCAAAGAGAAACAAAAATAGATTCTTACTCATTTCGGAGTTAAGACAAAAGATCCACACTTAAGGAATGAGATAGTTTTATGTCTAGCCCTATGATCTATTTAGGACTGATTATGTGATAACTTTATCCTATGGCTTTTTGTCGTCAGTTTGGTATCAAATCACGGCTGATTCTGACGAGTTTGTGTAACTTGTCTATACCCTGGTGTTGACAGATGAATTAAGCACGACCAGAACTGGAGACAAATCAGTGAATGATGGAGGCCTTAACAACATAATTGAAAAGAGTTCACAAAAGACACATGTAAGAATTCCTTGTTTAACATGTAGCATCCTCTCAAACAGGCATGCTTGTAAATAACAGATCGACCGATATTACGATGTTAAGAAATTTTAATAACATAACCTGAATCCTGCAAACACATACACAGAAACCTGCAAGCACGCATACACAGAAACATGCAAGTACGCATACACAGAAACATGCAAGTACGCATACACAGAAACATGCAAGTACGCATACACAGAAACATGCAAGCACGCATACACAGAAACATGCAAGCACGCATACACAAAACACATGGAGACACCGCTTAAAATGACCTTTGCTGTTGATAGGACGTTACACATGATGAAACCAAACTAAAACCAACCAATATCAAATTTGAGTGTTGCTACTGAGGGAAGGAAAACTAACAATCATGAATTTTGAATAATACCTATAACTTGGTAGTGAGCACTATTAGCGCGTACCACAGCTAATGTCATGATTATGCCCATATGAAAAGACTTTTTTTTTTATTAAGATAAGAGAGACCAAAGTCATTCTCAATGTCTTGTTTTTCAAGGACAGAACATCATGAATCCGTCTTACACTGTGCCACACCCCTGCAGGTGGAGGATCGGGAAAATAATACACCTACTTTTACCCACTGCATGTATCGTAGGAGGCCACTAACCCCTGAACCCCTGCAGTGTTGGGGATTTGCTTTGGTATCTTCCATTTGCAGACACAAAAGCGACCAAAATAAATCTGCTGCGCTCATTACAATATTTGGGATCTTTATCTTTCTTTCTACTTCCAACTACCTTTAATTTCGTAGCGCCTTGCTTGGCAACACCTCACTTTTGGCTTGATTGTTGAGCGTTCGCCCAGGTTAGGACGGCAATGGATTCTGTCCCAAGGCCGAGACATACCAAAGTCCTTAAAAATGGTAGTTGTTATTCCCTGCTTAACGTTCAGCATTAAGGGGAATGGCAACAACTGGTTCACCCGTTGTCAGTATAATGTGACCGGGGGGAATGTTGTGCCGAGTGCCTTCGGCATGGTTTTTTAAGTGAGATAGCACTATAGAGCCGGCAGATCCGCACTATCACAAGGAGGCAAGCACACCAACATACACTGTCTCCTGCACACACACACGCAAGCACGCATACACTACACACATGAAGGCACGTCCTTAAATGACCTTACCTGTTACCAAACCAAACACTTTACCATGAGGACTAATAAAGCAAACATCACATGAAGCCTCTTTTAAGTGTTCTGCATTAATTCTGCCCCATAAGAAAACAATAAGAGATTCGCTTGCTATGGTGATCAATCAAAATACAGATAGTCTGTTGAAATTTTATTTCTGAATTAACATAAATGTTGTTGTTAAGAAACAATAGTGAAGAAGCAGACACTAGTAGAAATCTCAACCTGAATCCTGGACCTCAAAATATTCTCAAAATACTCAAGTAAATGTCAATGGAAGCTGTATTATCTCTATTTATACACTTTAAGTTAATTTGTGAACGTTAATGTTATGTAAACAATGATTATCTGTCCATGCAATACCTAGATATGTAGTTGTATATATATGATTTATCTTATCATTGGTACTGTTCTATAACCATTTGCGTCTAGAAACTTGCAGGTGAAAACGATAAGCTTCAGTAGTTATTTGTACGTATTAACATTTCAGAACGATTATAAATTGTAATGGATCGTTTTCATTTGGATATTCTGTTTCTCCTATAACACGAGTAAGGGAAACAAAGACGACGTGATGTTAGTTCACGCTGTAATATTTCCAATGAAAAGCTTATTGGTGGACACAGTACTATGCAGTTTCTCGTATAGAATAGCAATCGCTTGCAATAGTGGTTGCTTTAATCATATAAATTATGTCATTTTGACGAAACGGAAAACAACATGGTAAGTACTCTCATATGACAAACATGTATCCACTGTGATCTTATTATACACATCTGTAATGAAATATATACATTAAGGTGAATTAGACTTTCATGTTCTCTCAAAACGCGTCACTGCATTATTTTTAATTTCGTTATAAATAATTTCTGGCTTGAATAATATTTATTATATCACACTGGTGTGCAGTGGAAACGGTTAATATATTCCCGGATCAATAGCCTTTTATGTTATCTCATCCAAGGCAATACCCATCCGTCATGTTGTTTTTAATTTAAAGCAGACGTTCGCTAATTATGATCAAGATATAATTGTATTTCTTACAGGACGGGAAAATGATAATACGAAAATTTCTTGTTCCCAAATTACTTTTACAGAGAGCCAGACCAATTGTGGTTTTCATGATATCAGAAGCATCATTACAGTTGAGATAATTTTGCAATAAAAGT